TAAGTCAGAACTGGCGGTCAGTTTCAGCAGCAGCTGAATCTGGACGCCAGTTCCGACTTACATACAGATTCAACTTAAGAACAAACCTACAGTCCCTATCTTGTACGTAACCCAGGGACTGCCTGTAGTACTATTTAAGTCCATGGGACTATTCACTTAAGCCAAGTCAGGTACCTATTTACATGACAGCAGCAACAGGATCATAATTTTCAGCATTTTGTCTACAGTAGTTTTGTACAATTTAAAATTAGACTACTGACGTAACAAAAAGCATGTACATTTAATTATGAGTTCTAACCTAAAGTTTCAGAAACACAATTTTAAATGAGTTTCAAAAAGCCTCAACCTAGTTTAAACCATTTCAGCATGATTCCTCGTCTTATTAAAAAAAAAATCAAAAACTGTAAGTACATATAAACTGTTCAAAAACTGTTCTACAATAAAAATGCTTTTTTCTCTTTGAAGTAGAGGTTAAGAGCGGCAATCAATATTTTGAAAATGTGTAATACAAACACGGCAAAAACATGTATACACTTTTATTGACACAGATTGCAGGTGCCAGGAGGTACTGTTACACTATTGCTGATCTAAGAAAGAGGGGTATAAAAAAAGATATTTTACACCCAAACGAAGATGATGATATATAAATCAGATGGACTTTCACTTCATACTAAAACAGTTTTCCATCTCCAATTATGATGAACACGGTTAATATTCAATAGACGTGATTCCAGACTGGATCACATAGTCCAATGAAAAGAAGGGCCACGTGTATGAAACAGACGAAGCTAAGAACCTACATTTTACCTGTAACATTAACTCTGTCTCCTGGCTGAACCTTATCAACAAGGTCGTTGTGAGCAAATAGCACAACAGTATGGGGCGTCTGGCCAGCTGGCATATCTTCGGGGGATTCCTGTAGTTTGATCTGACAAAACAGATATTGAAAGTTAGTTTGTACTACTCAGAAATAGTACATTTAACTTGCTTGTAAGAAAGGCTCTTACAACTAAAGAAGTTCAGCATCTTCAACTGGATAGTATTACATGTTAGAATAGACCAAACACATAAAATGTTCAAGTATTTCACAACACAATGGAATAACACTACTGAACTAGAATTCCCCAACCAGAACACCCAAATCAGAATTATGCAGCAGAGTTGCGTCTAGGGTGCATCTAGACAGCACCCTTCTGTTGGAATAAACTACACAATTTGCACTATGTAAATTGCGTAGCTTATTCTGTGCAGACAGCGCCAAATTTCAAAATAAGGCCCTAGTCTGAGAAATCCCTTTATTTTACAGGGACGCCAGAATAGCTTGCCCACTATTATGGGAAACAGTGGGTGCATTTAAAAACGCAGCGTTGCTATTTCAGGATACTTCTGGCATCCCAAAATAGTACCTCAGTCTAGATGTGTCCCTAGTGATTATCTGAGCAGTGTTAAAAGTCTCTAGATTGGGCTAATTTAGCCCACATATGACATCAGAATATTCTCAGTTTTGTAACACTGGTTCCATAAATTAACAAAAACCACTAATTGGCTTGACTAACTGTTGGCACAAAAAACCACTCAACTCCCCTTCCCAATGGATGATGGATAATCCTTGGAATTTCTTTTTTCCTCTCCCCTCTAAATATATTATTTCAACCAAAGTTCCCTCTAATCTGCACTGCCACGTGGCTGCCTAATAAGCCCTGTGCAAGGGGCTCCGTGATGCCGTGCACAGAGCAGCCACGGCTGGAGGAGAGGTACTCTCATCTGGCCTCAGCAGGGAGCTGCTACAGTTGGGGAACACATGTGCTCCTCAGGCCCAAACAGGAGAGCTAGATTAATAAAGAGGCTTAGAGGTTGCAGCTCAGGGCTGCAGCTACCCGAGTACTGAACCAGCTATTCCTAGTGACAGGAGAGTGCGATCGGAGAGGAAGCTCCACAGCTACCATTCCTGCCCCCCACCTGGCCAGAGTCACACCACTGTGAGCAATAGAAATCTCTGTCCCACAGCTCCCCTTGGCCAGGAGTCATGGCCAATGGGAGCTACAGGGGGAGATGCCTACAGCAGGAGACACACACCTGTTCTCCTCCCCATGAAACGAGCAGTCCCAGGTAAGCGCCCCAAACTCCCATCCCATGCCCTGAGCCCCTTTCACCACTCTAGCTGCCTCTCAGACTCCACGTCCCAATTCTGAGCCCCTTCCTATATCCTAACTCCTGCCCAGACATCAAAACTCCTCCCAACCTCCTGTCCCAAGCCCATTCCTGCACCCCAAACCACTTGGTCCAAGCCTGGAGCCCCCCAAACATCTCATTTTCAGCCTCACCATAGAATCCACACCCCTAGACAGAGGCCTCATCCCACCAATCCTGAGCCCACTCCCACCACTCTGAACCACTTGGCGCCATCCCCACCACAGACTGTTCATGTGCAGAATCAATGTTGTTATGGGCACCAATATGGAGGTGATGCGCCACATACCTCCATATTTGTATATACAACAAAATTCTTATTGCACGTGGACATAAATGAGATAGTTCATTTAGTGATTATTATCTGAGAAATATAAATTAGAGGGAACACTGATTAAAACAAATAGTAGCTATAGGATTGCAAAGAGTTTGTGTGTCAGTGTGTGCATATGCCTGAGTTTTTCTGCTGAAGAACTCTTCCTAAACAGTAAGAGCTCGGACCACCAAATTCAGAATATAGCTTTCTCTTATCACAACTTAAAGAAAAGTAAGGGTTTAGTTGTGCCAGGAAAATAGGATATGCCTAGAATGGGATTATTTCATAAAACCATACAGAAATGAGACAATCTCCACACAGGTGAAAAGGGCTGGCTGGAGGCATATCCTGTCCTTCCCCACCCAGGACTGCTCTAGTCCTGAAACCCCCAACCCTTCAGAAACTCTTTAGGGAGGACATGGTGGGGGCCTGAAGCTCCCGCCCTCCAATTTGCACAGGGAGGTGTTGGCTGTTCCCTTTTATTAGAGAGACTGGGGAAATTACACAGTTGGTTGCATTCCTCACTGCATGGGGAACACAGGAGCAGACAAACCTGGACCTGCCCCAGCTGAGGGACATGCACCCCTTCTGGGTGGTGCATGCTGGAGCTGCAATGGCCATGGAGAAGTGCTTCTCACCTGGCCCCAAGCTGCTTTTGTAAGAGAGGGCTGGGGGTGTCCTCTCCCCCTGGGGCAGTGTGCATACTGAACCCCCTCATCCCCAGCCCCACCCCAAAGAATTGATTTAAATGAATAACAAGAACTGAGCTAAGGACCTGTTCAACAGGAATCTTACTTTGTGAAGTAGGGAGCCTCTGCTAGCAGAAGCTTGCAACATATTTACTATATCTTTGACAGAGCAAAACAAAAAATGATTGAGGTAAGGACTCAAGTTATGCTGGGTAAGTCTTCTAGGTGCTTCACAAGCTGTGAATTGTTTTGAAGTTCAAGTCCTAAGCAACATACATATTTGAATATGGTCCATTTACTTGTGAAGAAAAAGACAACTGTTAAGGAAGCAAAGCTTTTCCATTTTACAACAGCAAAATGAAGCAACATACCATCTGTTTGTCTGAAAACATGGACCGATTGTGGATTAGTGCCATACTGTGTGTTGTATTACAGTTCTTGCACATTGATGGTTCAGCAATCCGGCCACGGTCAATTTCTACTCTTGTGGTGAAGGCACAAACCTGGCACTTGAAAAAAGCTTCTTGCATCTCAGGTATCAACTGGGAGCTTCTGATCACCATACCACTGATGGTGATAAGCTGATCAATATCTACAATGTAGAATGGGATACATGTGATCAATTCTTGCTTTGCATGTTTCATTTGAAAGTCCACCCTGAACTTTACTTCTGAATAAATAGATATCCATGTTGAATCTGAAAACACTGGTGTAGATGGATCCTAAGTCTGAACTTTTATCTTTTTAAATCTATTTTCCTAATTGTTGAACATTTTTTATACAGGCTCAAGTTTCTTTTTTAACTATGCAATCAAAGCACCTTACCTTCAGGATTCAGACTCCTCATATTCCTGGTCTTCAATGCATTATATGGTCTTACTTGAATCTGGTGTTCTAATATTGAGTCAGGATAACGTTCAAAAAAGATCTCATTAGCAGCCATGTCAAATGTTGGGATAACTTCCTGTTGAAAAGGAAAAGATTAGGTATGTTAGAATCTAACCACCTAAACCTACTAATCTTTAACCAACAAACTAATACTTATTGAGTAATGGTGTTGGTTATACTCAGCCAGCTTTCAGGAAGGAATCTGGGCAGGATAGCATAGCCTCCCCCCATGTGTCAGGCAAATAGAGGCTGGTGATTCCGCTCCAGTGGAAGGAAGGAGGCTTCTCTGTGGCAGGAAAGCCACCTCCTCAAGGGCTGGGCTGGCAGGGGCTGGTAGCCCTACTCCTGGGGAGGCTTTTCAGCAGGCTCTGCAGTATAAAAATTATTTAAGCGTAGGCCCAGCGCAGACAGAGGCTGCTTGGTGAGATGCCAGCGCAGGCCCAGTCCATGGGAGCTCAGGCCCATTGCGGGTAGGGGCTGCTGCCACTCCACACTGCTGCCTTTGATACAAAGGCCCCGGGGTAGCAGGCAGGAGCCAATCTGTGCAGGGAGCTGAATTCTAAACTGGCTCTACTCACAGACCGGCTCCCACCTGCCACCCCATGGTGCTGCCTCGGATACAGAGGTAGCAGCATGAAGTGGTAGGGAGTTCCCCAGGAACAGTACCCAGAGTCAGGAGCGCACTGGCTGCCAGCCATGCCTAAGTGGGAGCATTATAGTAACCATGTAATCCATGACCCAAAAGGAAGGCAAGGAAAAGAACTGCAAAGGCATTCCCATGCTTGCAGCAGCACCTATGTGGATAACAGATTTAAAAGAGGCAGAGAAAGACTGATAAATATCCAGTGACCATTGCTTTGTCAGCTTGGGAGTCAGCCTTGAATTTCTTATCTTTGGAAACTGTCTGCTTCCTCCATGACAGAGTGAGAAGCTAGAGCCCTGAGCAGGATCCATGGACTACAAACCAGCCAGAATCCAATCCCCCATATTAGCAATTTGGGTGAGTGGAGTGGGTATGTGTTCTGAACCTCAAACAGCAGTTTGCCTTTGGAGAATAGCAACAACTCCCATGCTGAACTCGCTGGTATTTCTCCGTGGCTATGAAAGATCTGGCACACATTTTAATACCATTATGTACTAAAATATATTTTATACAGAAGTTTGTACACATAAATTTTGTATAATCTATTTAGGTATTTATAGAAGGGTATGTAACTATCAATATTTTTCTCTCTCTGAGTGATAATCATCAACAGTTACATTCTAATTTATGCTTAAGTAATGCAATTTAACAAAAATAGTACTCAATTGGAAAAAAGTCATTTAAAAAGGCCTGACATTACCTGTGGATAGCAGATCAGCTGTCTGTATAAATTTGTGTCAAATGATCTCAGATGATCACAGTTTACATTCAGAAATGGTTCCCCAACCATATTGATCTGCAAGAGGTTTAAAAACTCCACATTAAATCACCAGCATTTAAATTGGAAAAACAAGTTAGTTTTAGCTCTATTGCTGTAATACCTCCTCAAGTCGCTGCATATAGAGTGGTTCATTAAGATCCAAGCCAATGTTCTCGTCCTCTTTAGCCAAAGGATCAATAAAACGCTGAAGAAATCTCTGAATATTGAGGAAAAAAAAACAAAGAAATTAAAAATGCCCAAAGTTACACAGCTGCAATTTTACTGCTACCCTATTCCTACACTGGACGATGTTCTCCTTGCTCAAATTAACTTCACTGATGCTTTCTATATTGCAGGTAGTCAAAAACTCCTAAAAAGTAGAGATAGCCCTAGTGAATCCCTTACAGCAGTGATCAACGTGCGGCCCATGACGATTCTCTGTGTAGCCCGCAAGACATTTTGTTTACTGTTGCCTACACACAGGGTTGCCAGATTACACTAGCTTCTTTCAGTCCAGTTTCTTTCCTCGCAGCATAAGTCAAGTGTCATGCACGTTAAGCAAGGGCACAAAGTGAGGTGCATGCTCACTGCTTACAACACTGACTCAGACAGCTGTGCACTCTCTCGGCATCCATTTAAAGCGCTGCTACAGTTCAATCAGTACACCCTGAAAATTCTACATATGCAAGCACAGTTAGCAAAACTACACTACCCTATTCCTAGTGCCTGTCTTGGTTACGAAAATCTTGTGATCCACTGAGATGGAAGGAAGGCCACGCATGCGGTTCAGTCACTAGCATGGTTTGCCCATTACTAGCCTATAGGATATTTCTGCCATGCACACTTAAGTTTCTTAATTCCAACTATATCTTTCCAATCTGGCACAGCAATGTACACCAATTAACTGGAGAAAGCCTAATCAAGCTATTATCCATTTCAGTGAACTATTTTATAATTTTTATAATACCAACTTAAAAACATGTTTGGAAACTGGACAGCATGCTAAACATATTACTTCTAAATGAGTATATGAAATATTACTGAGCATTTTAACCTCTTTTGCACCCTAGTGTAATACATACCTTATTCATCAACCAAAATCCAACATAGTAGACACCGTAGAAACAGAAGAAAAAGAGCTTCCCCAAAAAGCTCAGCATCCAAGCATAAGATAAGAGAAAATAGATGGATTTAGAAGGACACACAAAGAAACAATATTGGTCAGGATGACAGACAGTGGCATCAGCACACCAGGAGCTTAACTTCTGTAAAGGTTTTATTAGGTATCACAGAAAAGAAGAGCCCTAATTTGACAAATTGGAGAAATGGTGTGAGGTAAACAGGTTGAAGTTTAATAAGGACAAATGCCAAGTGCTCCACTTAGGAACGAACAATACGTTTCACACATAGAGAATGGGAAGCGACTATCTAGGAAGGAGTACGGCAGAAAATACTAGACATGCAAAATGTCCAGTATATTCTGTTTCTCAGACAGAAGGCCACTGTTTTTCTCAGACATTCTTTTACTGACGCGTCTGATTGGGGGAGTGTGACTCTTTTGAAAGTCGATTTAAAGGCACATTGGCTCTTTTTTTTATGGTGCGATTTTTTTTTTTTTTGCTCTTAACTTTGGTCCCCGTCTATTTTTTATTTTTTTGCTCAACCAATTTTTCCCCCCGCCACATCTGGTGTTTTTTGTGACATTATCTGGCAACCCTAGCCCCGGCTACTGCAGCAGGAGCCACAGCTCACCCCCAGGTCCCTTCTCCCTTGCACCTCTCCCTCCGCCAGCCTGGGTCCCTTCTCCCTCTTCCTTTTAGCCCGGGCCTCTTTTCCCTCCCCGCTCCCTCTGCCAGCTCAGGCCCCCCTCTCCATCCCTCCCTCCTCCAGGCTGGTACTTTCTCTCCCTTCCCAGCCCCCACTGTATACTGATGGTGCAATGGAGCAGCTGTTTAAAAACACTGGCAGTCTCCTGCCATGTGGTGACTGCTGGAGCTTCAATCATCTGCTGAGGGAACCAGGGTGTACCCCAGCCTAGCCCCCCAGTGTGGGTCCTGCTGCGGGACCTCTTACCCCCACATGGATCCAGCCGCAGACACCCTGATTAGCTGTTTTTAAAACAGCAGCCGGCCTCCTGACCACCCCCATTCCCTCCTTCCGGCATGGGTCCCGCCACTGGTACCCCAATCATCTGTTTTTAAAATGACAGCCTCCCTCCACATGCTGGCACTTCAGCCAGCTGCCATGGGGGCGGGGGCCAAGGTGTACCCTAGCTCCAGCCTGTCTCCCCCATGGGCCTCACTGTCACCTGCCCACTCACCACCTTCCCCCAGAAGCCCAGCAGCAGCCTACCCTCAAGGTGCAAGGAAGGTGAGTGCTGCTGTTAAGGAGTCAAAGATGAATATTTTGATCTCTTGCAAGCCATAGGTCGCCAACTCCATTACTGGGTTAGCAGCAGGGAGGAGAGAGGGAGGAGGCCAGGTGTCTGAGGGGTAAGGGGCTGCAGGATGCAAAGTGATGTGATAACATCACTCTGTCATCCCGCAGGGAAAACTTTTTTATAGGTCTAGTAAAATAACACATGGGCGATAGAAGCAGATAACTGGAAAAGCAAGTAGACTTCTTGATAGTTAATGAGAGAAGATAGGTAAGGGAAGGACAGGCCATGACAGACCAAGTAGTTTACACTTAATGCAACTGAGACAGGGAAGCCAATGAAGAGATGGAAAGAGAAGGGTGAAATACTCAAAATCAGAGTAGAAAAACATTTGTGGCAGCATTCTGAATTGGCCTGAGGGGGTCAAGGTTTCATTTGTTATGACCAAAGTAAAGGGTGCTGCAATAATCAAGACACAAGAGGAGAGCTTTAGGCCACGTGTACACTACAGATCCGTAATGGTACAAATGCACAGTTCAGAGGCATGAAAAATTCAGGCCCAAGTAATGCAATTATACCAATCTAATCTCCTCTCTAGACAATTCTATGGAACTTCTCCCATTGACATAATCCATCTCCCTAAGACGTGGGGTAAGCTCTATCATCAGAGTAGGAGTGCCCATACAGTGGTTTAAGTATTGACCTGCCCTTAGATAGACAGTGAAAGTTGTATTTTTAAAGAGATTTTATACAGATTATGCTGACTACAATGATCAAGAAACAAGGTAGCTGGGAGAATTTGAGGGACAGATTATGAGCTCTGTTTTCAAAATGTTGCATTTGAGCTCACAGCTAGACAGCTACAAGGAGATATCAGACACAAAGGTTACAATTTTAATTTCAACAAAGACAGGTCTGAAGTAGTGAGGAAGAGCTGAGTTATCTGCATGAGGATAGCTGAATTTGTATTCGTAGATGAGATTACGCAGAGAGAGAGAGAGAGAGAAGGAAATTCAGGGCAGAAGCTTTGGAACTCTCAAAGAATGCTGGAGGGCAGAGGAGAAGGATATTTTAAATGATTAAAGAGGTAGGAGAAGAACCAGTAAAGGATGGAAGCCAAGGGAAGATGAAACTTTAAGAATATCATGGCTGAGGGCAGCACAAGGAGAATGAGGACAGAGTATTGGTTCTGAGCTTCAGTAGTAAATGGTCACTAGAGACTCTGGCAAGAGCCATTTCAGTGGAGCACAAGGGATGGAAGCCAGATCGATGAGTTCTATGGTGGAATTAGAGGAAAGAACTTCTAGACAACAGTTTTACTTTTCCTTCTCTTATGGATACATTATGAAAATGTCAGTGTTCTTCAAATGCACTGAGCTTGATTCTAAACATTCTGATGTTTGCCAGAATCAGATACTGCATATACAGATGATACAAATAAGAATGGAGGTACAAACTGAACTTCTCTAGTCTGGCACCCTCGGGACCTGATTGGTGACGAATCAGCAAATTTGCTGAACAACAGAACATCAATATTGCCTAGCAACATTACCAACTCTTCCACAGCTTACTGGGCTCTTAGAAGACATTTAGGGATAAATTAGAGCTAAGTAACAGTATAAAACACGGAGAGCCAGGACTGGTGGCTGTAAACAATCTTTATGGGACAGTGCAGGGGGAGGTGGGAGGGAGGGGAGAAAGGAGGGAGAATTTGGTCATACTATTGGTAAGTGGACATCCAGCTAACAAAAATCATGCCAAACCACAGATGTTGTAAAACCAGAGAGTGCTGGACTAGAGAGGACCAACCTGTATCCACAATTGGTCACCTACCTGGAACTTTTCTTTGCATGAAGCTACATTAACATCTGTTCCCCAGATCACAAGCTTTTGTCCAAGAGATTGTTCATTTGTCAGTGCATCTTCTGCTGGCTGTGGGGAGGAAAAAGCCATGAGTATGGACACTATAAATATATTTTAGAAGAAATATTACCAGTGAAATATGAAACATTTACCTACCCCATCAGAATGCAAGTCCACCTGTCTGGCTTTGCGGGCAGATCCAAGATCTGGCCTCTGCCTAACTGGAGTTCCTCGCACACCACTCCTTGGAGTTCCCTCCACTCTAGAGCTGGGAGTGCCATAGGTCAGAGGTGAACTAATATCAAAATCAAGTGGAAGTGCTACAAAAAAACACAAGTTGAATTATACTTCAAAATAGTTATGAATGCGTTTTGCTCTAGTGCAGGAGTGAGGAACCTTTTTGGGGTCTGGGGCCATCGACCCACAGAAAAAAAATCAATTGGGGGCCACACAAGTGAAAAGTGGAAAAAAACCCTCACTGTGGCCCCTTACTGAAGAGAAAGACACACCTCACATTCCCCTTTCACACCAGAGCCAAGAAGGGGTCCACCTTAGTAGATTTTGCGTGTGCCAGCCCCCAGTGGGGCTACAGGGGGCAGTAGGGTTGCTGGAGGAACAGTGCAAGCTCCTCAATGCTGGGGGGGACCTTGAGCCTCAGGGGCTGGATCCAGGCAAGCCAAGAGCTACACCTGGCCTGCAGGCCTACGGTTCCTCACCTCTGCGCTAGTGTTTATTGTTGGTCAGTGTGAGAAAAGGCAGGGTAGCAAAGTCTGTAGGTCTTGTTACTTTTCTAACTGTATTCTACAAGACTATATTAGCTATAAAATATATTGTATGTATTAAAATGTGTATTTTTCAAATCTAGAGTGAACACACTTTGCTAAAATAGTTGATTTTACACCAGTGTAATATTTGATAACACTCTGGAGCTTAAGTTCACACAAAAGCCATTCTAAAACATCCTTTTTTTAATACACTGTTACTGGGTGTATGTTTAATGCGCTGAAATCAACAATTCACTGAACTGAAAGTGATACATCAACTAATTTGTAACAAATCTAGAATGAACACACTTTGCTAAAATAGTTGATTTTACACCAGTGTAATATTTGATAACACTCTGGAGCTTAAGTTCACACAAAAGCCATTCTAAAACATCCTTTTTTTAATACACTGTTACTGGGTGTATGTTTAATGCGCTGAAATCAACAATTCACTGAACTGAAAGTGATACATCAACTAATTTATAATTGAAAACAATGCTGTTCATTCAAAAGGATCCCTGTTTTGTTTACAAACTGACAGCTATGTAAAAGCCAATATTAAAACTTTCAGTATGGACACTTAAGAATACAGAGATCAGCATTTCACCCCTGCTACTGAAAACACGAGCAGAACGTGAGGCTGCTGGGGGCCCCACAACAGAAGCTCCTCCGGCATGGCTTTACTGCCCTTAACCTTCCTTGCCTTATCCTTCAGTGTGGCTGATGTACAGATCCAACAGGACTCAGGAGGCACAGGAGGAGCGGTCAGTGTGGGACTGCTTGGTAGCCCCATGTTCTGCTCCTTTCACTGTTGTGGTTCTGGAGAGCTCTGAGGTTCAGAAGCCTTTGATGCAGTGGAAGGATGGCAAAGGCCCACCTGCCCCCCAGATAATGTAGGGTAGTTGATGGAGAGGGGACAGGGAGAGCAGGGTACTCCTGAACTGGGTGGGAAGAACTCATATCAGGGAGGTATATGGCCCGCTTTGTGTCCCTCCCATGAGAACAGCGTACAAAAGGAAGTATTTCTTCACTCAAAACACAACCTATGGAACTCCTTGCCAGAGAACATTATGAAGTCTAAGACTGTAAAAGGGTTCAAAAAAGAGCTAGACAAATTCATGGTGGACAGGTCCATCAATGGCTATTAGCCAGGATGGGCAAGAGTGGTATCCCTAGTCTCTGTTTGTCAGAAACTGATTGACGGGGCATGGATCACTTGATGATTACGTGTTCTGTACATTCCCTCTGGGGCATCTGTCATTGACCACTATGGGAAGACAAGATACTTTAGGATAGACATTTGGTCTGACCCAGTATGGCACTTCTTATGTTCCAGTAAGAAATGAGTTCTACTTGCACCACCTGTGCATACCTGAATCACGAAACTGTGGTGGGCTGGAAAACAGAACATTTTGAGCATTTGGGCTTTGCATGTCAACTGCTGGAGAAGTTGGCATTGGCTGTAGATCTCCTGTAGATGTGGAGTCATCTGTTCGACGTTTTTGTGAAGGAGGCGACTGAGCATCTTCAGTGCGTGCTGTAACAATATGAAAGCTGGTAAGTAGCTATTTCAGATTTAAGTTGCAATGTTCTACACCGATAAATGTGAACAGATCAAATCACAAAAAAATCATATGGCAGAATGGAAAAAAATTGGTTGATATAAAATTAAAAAGCAAAGTGTAAAATTTTGCTGATATGAGAGTAATTGTGAGATTTCAAAGTGGTTAAAAGAATTTAAAATTGATATTGAATTTATCTTCCTAAATGCTTAAGATATCAGACCTGCTACAAGTGCTATGAAAACCTAGCTCATATCGTGTTTTTCCATCATATAGTGTTTTTAAAAAGTGCTTTGAAAACAGGATCATTACAGGCAGTCCTTGACTTTATGATGTTCAACTTCTGACGAATGGCATCTACAATGTTTCTGAATCTACACTCTAATTTCGACTTTATGACTCTCGGCCTCATAATGGAGCAGATTGCAGTTCTGAGTTATGAGATTTCAATTTATGATACAATTGATGTCTGAAAATAGCATTGAGAGTCTGAGGACTGCTTGCATCCCTATTTTCTAGTGGAGAAACTGAGGCACAGAGAAGAGGACCCAACCTACATACTAATGAGTATCAAAGATTTCAAGTGCAGCATTTCATGTACCCTATTTGTAAACTTGCCTGTATTTCGCTTTTAAAAAACTTTTAAACAACATCCTCTTCTATTAATGCATCGTTGAAGATTAGGGTCAGGTCTATAGCTCAAAGTTTTGTCAATATTGTTATGTCTGTCATGTATGTGAAAAAAACATTCCCCTAACTCAGGAGTGGAAAATAAGCAGGCCAGTCATGATTCATAAGGGGTAGTCCCTGGCAGGCCACCAATCACTTTATCTGAGCATTCACAGGTACGGTACCTTGCAACTTTTGTCAGCTGTGATTCACCAATACCAGACAACGGAAGCTGTAGGAATCAGTAACCCAATGAATGATGGCCTACAGGAGCTGCAAGTGGTACATATGGCTGCTCAGAAAAATAAAGTGTCCAGTGGCCTGATAGGGACTAACCACTTATTGCCCACTCCTGCCTTAAGTTGATACAGGCTATACCAGGAAAGCCCAAAGTTGTAGCCACAGTTATGCTGACAGAAGAGTGTCACAAAAATGGAAAAGACCCACAGTGAGCTGAGCTCAGGAATGACATTACATGCGCTGAACACTCCTCTGCCCTTACAGCTGTGCTGGCAAAGCCTTGTAGTGTGGACAAGGCCTTTCAGAAAAAAACAAGTTCAGCCCACAACTGACAAAGAGTAATGTTCCTTAAGTCATCTTGCTTAAGTGGCCTAAAACCGGTAACTTCTTGCTTCCCGCATGTCCAGATTTTTGAACTCGTTTTAATGATGAAAAACTGCATGTAACATTCTTCTCAAGACATTTGCTTTGCAGAGCAAACATAAGAGCTAAACTCCATCTTTTCTTGGGCATCAGCCAGGCTAAACCTACATATGGAAGAATTCCTGCTTATTATAGGCAGCTGGAATAGGAGGGAAACCCTGAGTGTGTCTATGTAAATACAAATTGCTTCTGTTTGCTTAGATATTCAACTGCTGCAACGATTGCCCATTGTAACCAATTTGGTTGTTGTGGGATCCCAAATTGCATTAACAGTAAATGCAGGAATTGTGAAATATGATCACCTAGGCTTGCAATTATTGTGGGAAGGCAGAAAAGTCAGACTGTTTAACCCAGTTCAAAAGGAGAGCGACTCCATCAGTTTAAAGACAAATGGATGGACAGAGGCTGTGAGATAAAGTTGGGGAGGGCAGGACTCCCTATCAGTAATCTACATGCTCTCCAGGCATGAGTGTTAAAACTGGTTTAACTTGTTTCTCCTTTCCCCTCCCCCCACTCCTGTTTCAATGATAGAGCTAAAATAGGCCCGGTTAAAACTGGTTCAACTTGTTTCTCCTCCCCCCCCCACTCCTGTTTCAATGATAGAGCTAAAATAGGCCCCAGAAATCATCTCTTTAATTTACTCCAGTGGATGATGGCATTTTTTATGGCTGGACTGTGCTTTGGGCCAAGAGTTGCAATCACTAGACTTGGCGCAGAGCCAAACCCACCACAAGCTGGCAGAAGCAGCAAGTGCATGGTGACTGAGAGCTAATAGGTCAGTGTTGGAGAGATAGGACCAGTGGCCAGCAAAGTGGCAGTGGCATGATGAGCAGCCAGCAGAGTGATGACAGCACCATGAGCAGCCAGCAAGGCAGTGATGGAAAGGAGTGATGAATGGTGGCAGAGCTGGTGGCTGGCAAATGATCAGCCAAGTGAGTAAAATTCCTCTTAACCCCTCCACTCAGGATGGGAAGTGAACTCTGTGGATGCACCTCTAAGCTATGGGTCTGCCCTGACTAAGGGCAGCAGCTGTGAGTGGGGTGCAGAGAAGGGTAACACTTGAAAGGGACCAAGTATCAGAGGAGTAGCCGTGTTAGTCTGAATCTGCAAAAGCGGGCACCTTATAGACTAACTGAAGTGTAGGAGCATAAGCTTTCGTGGGCAAAGACCCATTTCTTCAGACGCATTCATCTGACAAAGTGGGTCTTTGCCCACGAAAGCTTATGCTCCTACACTTCAGTTAGTCTGTAAGGTGCTACAGGACTCCCTGCCGCTTTTACTTGAAAGGGACATTTACATTGCTGCACTTTGCCCCTCAGAAGCACCCAGAGCTGTTGTGTTAATTCACCAGGTTACTGGGTGCAGGCTCAAGCCAGTTCTGTGTTGGATGGATGGAGAGGAATCCCTACGTATTGAACCTGGCCCTGGCACTTGCGGATGCTACCTGGCAGAAGGGTTACATCCACTTCATAGGTAAGTGAACCTAGTTACTACAGACAGGGATCCGAGGAAGGCACACAGGCTGCTGAGCATAGCTGGGGTTGCCAGGTGTCCGGTTTTGAACCGGAGGGTCCAGCATTTGAGCTTTCTGTTCGGGAAACAAATAGAGAAAATAGAAGTGAGACAATCCAGCTGTCCGGTATTTTCTACAGAAGATGTGATGTCGATTGTGCTGATGTCGTGTCAAGCGAGTCCGGTATTTCTGTTGAAGCCATCTGGGACCCCTAAGCGTAGCTAGGCGCAGGGAGACCCAACCCCAGGTGCAAGACGCCGCTAAGCGGGCAGCTACTGCCCCCCGCGCAGGGGGGGCTCCCACCGCCCGGAAAAGCCCCTTCTCCCAGGGCAGGCGGTGCCCAAGCCACGGGGCTACTGCAGCGGGGCTACCGGG